CGTTTGTTTCTTGAAAATTTGATCATGATTTAAATACAGTATTTATTTTTAATATTACCGATATGTCATCGAAAAGAAAACGTGTTGTATTATCATTAAAAGACAAATTAAAGTATTTGTTTCGATTATCTGGATTTTTCCTTATCCAGACTACCTTCATCCCCAATTAGTCCGGATAATCGAGGTTCTACTGTACTTTGAATTTCCTGAAGCAAGCAAGTTTGTCCTTTATCATTTTTACAATTCATTTAATTTAAAGTTTTTATATGTTTTTAGGAAGAGCTTTGCGGGGCAAGGCTTTTTATAATGTACATGGAAAGGTTTATTGTGAGGAAGATTATTTGGTAAGTTTTTAAAAAGTAATATGAAAAACTAAGATGTAATATAAGACTATGATATAATATATTAAATAAATATATTTTTATTTAATAAAATATTAAGAAATCTTATAAAGTAAGGATATTTATAAGAACATCTTTTAAATTAAGGATATTTTTTAATTCTTTAAAGTGTAAATATAGTTTGAGCTACTAATATATAGGTATTTATTCTGTGATTGTTGGGTCTTAGTAAGCTATGAACATTGAAATTGAAAAAACCTCATTTGAATAGTTTAGACATTAAATTTACAATATAACAAGATACTGCTAAAACTAGTATTCATATATAAATATTTTACACAATATACAGTAACACAGTATAAAATATAGAGTTCAGATTATAGATTTCAAATAAGTATTACTGTTTGGTTAAAATCTCTAACAAATTAATAATATTAATGAAAAGTTGTTGATATTTTTACAACATTAAAATGCTCATCATGATACATATTTATCTAAATTTATAAAGATTTAAAAAATGTCTTGTTTTGTATGTTGAGATGATGTAGTCTCTGTCTGTTTATTTATTTATAACAGTTAAATGCTTTTCAAAACATATTACATTTCATCTTCAGATCCATTTGAACAAAATGTTCAGAAAAAGAATATATAATGGGCCCTGCCATTTGTGATCAAGGTCTCTTTTGTAATCAGAAATTAACATAAAATAGCTAACCCTATTAATTATTATTTCCTATACTAACAACCTATCATACATTTTTTTATATATAAGACAAATAAACACCGTATTAACAATAAACAGCATGATACCATAAATCATAAAAATAACCTTAAAACATTTTGAGAAGCAGATTTTTTTTCCTTTTCACATTAAATCTAAAACTTTAATTTTTTCCTTTAAAGTAGGCACTTTATGACTTTTCTCTCTCTTATCAGAGCTATCTTTGGAGCCATGTTTGCAAAGTAATTAGCATAAATGAAACAGAGAAGCACTGATATCACATAGACAACTAGAACTGAGAATTCTGGACAAAGACTGATCTGAGTCTTAGTGTACAGTGTAAATCAAAGAAATGAGTCACAGTAATCTTTTCCAGAACAAGAGTGTGACTAAGTGACATGCTGTAAGACTTCATAAACCTTAAAAAAGGTTCAGATTTAAAATGCTAAATAATGTTTTCATAATAATAGTAGAATATTTTA